CCTTTCTAATCGAGTCCTTCTAGTCAAATACCCTCACATGCTCAGTAGAAGGGGAGGGCAGCCACAGCTGCGCATATGTAAACTGGCTTCTTCAGATACAGCTTTGAGCCATGAAGCTGAATAATCCCTGCGAGCAGGGGATCAACAAACAAATTGTGCTGTATTCCCAGTTTGTGTGGGCATGAGTACATTCTTGAGGGGAGGGGAGAGGGTTACATAATTGGACCAGCCAGGTTAGCTCTGCTCAAGTGACACCGAGTATTTTCCCCCCTCTCCTACTTTTAATTTAGGCATGGGAGACTGAGGACTGAGTTTCAAGAAGAAATCCAGGCAAGATCAGGCCTGCTTTGCAGTTGTAAACTTTCTGTAGTGAGGAAAGTCCAATACTCTGATTTACAAGGCCAGACGGGACCATTATGATCATCTAGGCCAGGGATCAGCAACCTTTCGCACGCAGCCCATCAGAGAAATCTGCTGATGGGCCGGGACGGTTGGTTTACCTGCCGCATCCGCAGGTTCAGCCGATCGCGGCTCCCACTGGCCGCGGTTCGCCGCTCCTGGACATGGGGGCTGCGGGAAGCGGCGGCCAGCACCTCCCTCGGCCCACGCCGCTTCCCGCGTAAGTTTTGCTGTAGTGTAGACATGGTTAATTGGCCTCTTCTATAGAGCACCCCGTAAGAGGATTTTTGCTCTCAGATATATACACGCAATGTCCAATATGTGAATGGAATTTGCATGCATATATACAAACGAAGAATGAGAAGATACTCAAGGGATGAAAAATAAACCCAGCCTTGTAAAACGTGCTGCTGAGATACTAATCAGAGACAGGACTTCACTTAGTCAAGAAGAAGGAGATCACTAGGAACTGCCAACTAAGTACCAGAAACACATTAGAAGGGGACCACACCACTCTGACTGCCTCCTTCTGCAGGTCTGAGGGCCACTCTACTTTTTATGCCTTGCTCCACAGCACAGGGGAGCACAGGACCCCAGAGGTCTAGAAAAAAACAGGAGTCCTGGTGGAGTTTGTTTATATATCTCTCAAGCAGCTATTTCTGGCTGGGAAAGCTGTTTTGACACCAAATAGGCTCATCTCAACAGCCAATCCAAACTGAGAGCAATTGTGAGCTTGTCAGAAGCCAAACAACCCTGAAGGTAGAGCAAAGATTTGCACAGCCAAACCCAGAACTGGGGCATACGGAGGCAAGGGAGCGGGGGAGTGTATATAAAAATAGAATAGGACTGACGAATCTTATTTAGTTATCAAGGTTCACAGAAGAAAAAAACATCAGCCAGTCAGAACCCAGCTCATTCTTAAAAGTACAGTAGTCTCTTCCACCACTTATGGAGGAGTCGCTGCGGTTCAGTGGGAGAGCAGAATACAGAGCTCTGATCCAGTTCCCTCTGCTATGGCCTCAGGCAAGTAACTCAGTCTTTCTGCCTCAGTTTCCCCATCTATAGCCACCTGCCTGACAGCGCGTTGGAAGGATAAGTGACTTGTAATAAAGGGTGCTACACACATGCCAAGTTTGGAACTCACAGTTGGCCCCTGGGTGCAAAATGCTAAGCCAGATTCACATACCTCAGCACTGGGCGTTTTGATTTTGCTCACTTCTTGTCTCAACTGGACGATTACAGACTAGCTGCTGGCAGGGTGAGGGGAGTAAGAAAAAAGGGGGGGGGGAGGGTGGAGTCAGCTGATCCACAGTGGAGTCTCCCTCTCCCTCCTCACCCCAGAAGGAGGACTCTTCACTCACCAGTCATACACACACACTCTCACGCTCCCCACTCCTGCCCCCTTCTTTTCTGCCACGCTGCACAAAGCAGGGAAGCAGTCGGCCAGGGTTCTCAATGAGAGGGAAGGAGAAAAAGAAAAGAAGAAGCTTCTGCATTCCTCAAGAGCATCCCAAAAACCAGACTGCAGCAGAAAGCGTATTAGCCCCTGCTTGCGTACAACGCCTGCAGCACCTTCTCTTCCACCGATACAAGCACCGAGCGAGCTTCGGAATCTTGTTATCTACAGTCAGTTCCATTTGTCCATAGACGTAACAGGAGAGAGTAAATCTGACAGGTCAGAACTGCTGAACTGTATTAAATCCATCTGCTGTTCTCCAGGCAACAAGAAACTCAAGCCTGTTGCAAAGAGCAGGTCAAAGGTGCAACGAAGCCTAGTCTTCAAATGCTCCCCAGCTGGGAGCGGGGCTCACCTTCTCTGACCTGATGTAATGTTTGCATCCCAAACAGCAGGTGAAAACGTTGCCTAGTTTAAACTAATCTCTCTCAACTCCTCTACCTAGCTCATTCCCTTTCACTCTTACACCAGCGCCTGGTGGCTTTGTTTTATACATGCTCCATCCCACATGCTCTCCAGCCAATTCCCCTCATGCATTATTCCCCTCACAGAAACAGCCACCGTCGATCATGCTCACTTCACACGCACCAAGCCAACCCAGACAAATCCTGTTCAGGATGAACTGATGCCGCAATAAGCACACCCTAAAGAGCTCCATGGGACCCACTCACACCAGCAAAGCTCTAGATTTCTTGGCATCCTTTCTATTCTAAAGGCTCGTTCCCTGAGCGCATTCAGGCTGTCAACGGAGAGCGAACTTACCGAGCAAAGAGTGGTACAAGATGGGTGGCTTGATGGTACGGATTGTCACACATTTGGCCCAAGTTCTCTTCCTTGCTGCTAAGAGCTAGAAAGATCCGATGGACCAGTTAGCTTAATAGAGTAGGAACTCTGTTCATGGGAGGTTAGTCGCAAGCTGCAGTAAATCCATGGCCCATATCATGAACACCCCTGTAGAGGGCCAAGATACCACCAGGCTGAATTCCCAGGATACATTAGATACTGATCCTGCAAGTAGATCCAGGCAGATGCCCCCTTTTACCTTGTACAGATATGGTTGCAAGTTTGATGCCCATAGTCCCTTCCTGAATATTTGAGGCCAATGTTTTTGATCCTCAAGTGGCACAGGGCATGGTGCTTGTTTAAAATATCCCATTACTTGGGATGTTTACAACAAGGCTGGGCAAAGAACTAGAAAAATATCCTGTTGAGAACAATCCTGCACTGCCCAGGGGATGGGCCATTCCTTAAAGGTCACATTTCTTGTGGTGAGCAATTGAAATGATGCAATTCAGTAAACAGTCCAGCTGCTGATTTGCTTCTCACTATCGCAGACCTGGGTTCAGTTTCCAAGACTTGGTCCCTCACTGCTTGGACTCAAAGTATTGCAAACACAGCAAACTTTGGCTTAGGGAGGGAAGGGGCCATAAACAGCAATTCTTCCAGCTACTTGGCAACTCCCAGGGCTAAGAAGGTGGTATCTAGCGACAAGGCAAGGTGAGGTATGTGGGACGTACAATAACCAGGAGAAGTGGTTCACCCTCATTGTCTTTCTTCATATACTTTGACTGCAAGCTCTTTGGGGCACGTGCTGTCTTTTTTGTTTTGTTTTGTTTTTTTGTTTTGTTTTCTTACTGAGGGTCTAGTGCCTGGCACAACGGGCCCTGATGCCATGCTGGGATTTGTAGGCTCTTAGCATAATACAAATAAATAACAAGGATAAGGCTGACACTCCAAGGACCCACTGGAGTAGGGTGCTTTCTTTCCTGATCCAACTCACAGATCCTAAAATTAGCTAGTGACATGAGTTCTGGATGCTTCACATTGCTTAAGGATGGCAAGTTTTCTACTTTCTGCCCAGATAAAAATCATGGAGCTTAACAAACAGCCTGTGCTCCTGGAGGGAGAGAGATGAGCAGGGATTTTTCCATTTAAAAACAAAACAAAACAGGTGCCTGTAAAGTGATTATCCCCTTCATTTGCAGGCAGGGAAGGAAAGCATTGGCTCATTCCTAAAGAGTTTTATCAGATACATTTAAGAAGATATAACAATAAATAACCCTGCATGTGAATGAATGTGATGTCAGAATTGGAGCAGTTTGACACAGTGGGTAAAGCCACTGAGGAGCCTATGCTGATGTTTTGGAGACCACACAGACCAGTAAGGGGTTCTGCCACCCCCTGCCCTGTAACCATGAGGGACTTTGTGCTCTGCAGCTATGACTCAGATCCCTAACGCCAGTAACCAGCCCACAAGCAGAAGGTCTCACCCTGGCTCTCACCAGCCCAGTTACTCTTTGCAGGGTGACACCTGCACCCTGTTTTCAGAAGAGACTTGGGCACTTTGCCACCTAAATTGTTTTTGGAAATGGAACTTTGGCACTTTTGAAAATTTTACCCGTTCTCAAAACTCGCTGAAACTCTTCCAGCCCAGATCAGAGAGATGCAGCAACTAAAATGATCAGCTAGAAATATGTACGGAAGACCAGAGACCTTGTGTGAGCAGCTCAATGTCACAACTAAGACTCCGAGGTTGACAAGGTGTCCTTCTCTCCAAGGAGTATTGAGCAAAACAAGGGCTAATGTTTGAAAAGCAAACGACGACTAAACAATGAAGAGGAAGCTGAAGTCTTCTTCCTTCCCCGGTGCCCATGTCCCAGGAACTGGCTGTTTTATTTAATGAGGGAAGTTTTTCCCTTCACTTAGGAAGTTTGGGAGCAGAGGACAGTAACAGCCCATGCTAAAAATCCAGGGGTGATTACTAAAAAGAAACTGATTTTTATAAAAGACAAGTCAGGAAATGGGGGCAGGGGGCAGGAAATACCTTAGAAGAGACAGATTTTGATCACTTGGAAACCCCAGAAGGAAGAAAAGCTCTGCACAGAAATAGTGCTTTGAACCCACAAGAACTGGGGGGCTATGCTAGACAGTTTGTAGCCACAAGCCCACTAATAGCTCTTTTAGCCTCTTATTTCAGCGTCTTTCTATCCTTGATTCTCTCTTCTCCCTCCCAACCCCCCTACAAACTCCATTCGCTGCCTGATTAATAATTACAACCACTCATTTACATAGGCACATCAGGCCAGAGTTGAGCAGAAGGTGACAGCAAAAGCTCCCCCCACCCCCAGGTCTGAATCCCCCGTACCTCAGCTGCTCTCCTGCAATCATCACCTCTGCCCTGTGATGTCTCTCGGTTGCTTTACTCTTCAGGCTGTTGCTAATACTCTCCATCCTGGCTCAGGCACACACCAGAGGTAGTAAGAACTTAACGGTGCTTGGCGTGCGAGCATGTGTGTGCAAACAGCTGCCTCCCAGCTCCAGAGGACCATTCAGGGAGCTCTTTGACAGCTACAGCTGACGTCCCATTTACTTTCCTGCCTTTCTGTTTGCAGTATGTGTGACTGCCAGAGTCAACTGATTAGCACTGCCCAGCTCCACTCCTCCTTAGCAGAGCTAAAGCACCTGATATAGGCTGTTTGCAGCGTCTCTGGAAAAAGATGGGAGACAGGAAATTCAGGAGCACTCCGGGGGCTGTTTCCAAAGGATGATTTCCTCCCCTCTCCCCCTTGACTATGCTCAATCCTGGCTGTGTAACAGGTAGGTGCAGGTGCTTAATGTTTTTCTCCTGGAGCATGTCATTTAGAGGTGGAGCCTGCTGCAATCTGATCCTTACTTTGGGTTCCTCCCTTTCTCCCTGCAAACCGCCTTGGGATGAAAGAACCCTTGTGTTCTACCTGGGGAAAGCCGGCTGGCTGCTCCAAGAGGCTCAGAGCCCTAGCCCTTGGCCTGCAGCTGCTTTAATGAACAACTCTAAGGTTGAGGAAGAAGGTGTGGTTTTAAATAGGCTGTGGAGTGTGTCTCTCCTCTGAAAACAGGGGGAAATTGCTCATTAAGGAGCTGGAACAAGCTGAGTAAAATCAGAGGTGGGCCCTGCACAAGGGTAATTCACGGGGTTACGCAGTTTGGGGTTAGTGACAACAACAACTAAACACCTTGTGATCGGTAGGGGGTCTCCTTTGACCTGGTCTTCCCTCTCCCATCAGCGTTCGTGCACAGGGGGATCCTCACCACTGCTAGAGCAGAGCGGGGTGGAGTCATCCACCTGTAGTCTTCCAGAGAAGCAGCTCCTGAAAGCCACTGGTACCTGCATTCCCTAAGCGCTGCACAGGAGTGGTGGAAGGCCCTTACCTACACACACAGGCTTCCCCTGCCAGAACAAGCCCTTCGGTCCCAGGGACTGGGCACCATGCAGTGGGTACTTTGTGCCCAGCATACACACCATGACAATTAGAGGCCCCAGCCTGAGAATTAAAAAGGAATGCGAACTCTAATAACTCCAGATGCCAGCAGGGCCTTTGCACTCTGCCGCCGGCAGGGGATGAAGTCAGTTGACTCTCACGTGAAATACTGAAGCTGCTTTCCAAAGGCTTAGTGGGGCAGAGCCTGGAGCTGTGTATTAACACACACAGGCAAGCCACGCAAACAGGACAGGGAAAGATCTGCCTGAAAGGGTGTCCCTTGACTAGGAAACAAGGTGTGGTCTTACCTCACGGTAGCTCGCACTTGGTAACTAACGTGAGGTATAATCCTAGTGAAGACAAGGCAGAGTGTAGTTTTCATATGTCTGAGGTGGAGGCAAAGACTCCAAGGGCAGTCTAGGGTTTACCACGACCTGCTCACTCGTGTTAAACCTACAACAGCCTGTGATTTTACCTCACGTTTGTTGCCACACATGAGCTAAGATGAGGTAAGAACACCCCATTTTTTCCTACTGAAGACGACGCTGAAGACGCTGTCTGGGACCTGAACTAGCTAGATTCAAACTAGTTCAGGTAAGGCTACCTCAGCTGGAATTTCTCCGTGATTTCAGCCCAGACATCCCTCAGAGACCACTCCACCTCCATGCTTGACCCATTCTCTGTTAGAACTGCTGTAGGTATTGCAAAGGTCTCCATCAATTTCAGACCATGCCAAACCGCATGGGCTCCAAGCCCGAGGTGCACTGTAATAAGTGAAGGACCGTCGACAGAGCGTTCGGAACTGCTCAATTCCCACTTGTTTTTCGTCTTTGAATTTTTTTCTCCTGAAGTAAAGAGGATGAGATCTGCCTCCTCCGTGGGAGGCCCAGTTTGTTCTCTGGGGACATGAAAGATCCCATGATCCTTGTGTCTTTGGCCCATATTTTCTCTCCCACACCTGAGCCTCCCTCACTGACATGCCGTGCACCAGAGGTTGCTGCATTTCTGTGTTGTATTTACAATTTATGAAGCACTTTAGGGATCCTTTGGCATGAAAGTTTCTATGTAAATGTACCATTAAAGGCCCTATATTTCACTAACCTTCTAGCTCCCCATCCAGGAGGGCTTGGTGTGTTGAGATAGTCACAGTGATTTCTGAGGCACTGTGGTAATTTGGGTCTAGGCTTAGAAGTCAACATGCTGTGTCACTGACTGCTCTGATCAGAGGCAGCCTGACAAGGCATCTCTGCCTTTGTAACTGTGTGCACCTGGCTGTACGTACATCTGGCACCTCCCATAACAGGGGTTTTGTTGGTAGCCTGAAGGCTGATCTGCAGCGTGACTCCAGTAGACACGCAAAGCCTCCAGCCAGCAATGTCTACCCCAACTTACTCCAGTTCTTAGGTCGCAACATTCCCCCTGGAACTTGTCAGTGCCATTCCTCCGGCAAGTTAGAAGGGAACCTGAGGTGCTTCTTTGACCTAGTCGCTGGGCACCTGGTCTCCCCTAGTGATTCCAGTGCCAGCCAGCCTGGGAGTGGAGGACCTGAACTCTGAACCACTGAAATGCCAGAGCAATAGACACCTCACACACCACTCAGCTGACTCCCATGCTGTAACGGTAGCACGGGATTTTATGGTAACCATGTGGTTTCATTGTTGATTCAGCCGTTTGTATTTTTAGACTCCCTCCTCAGGCCCTATGCTACCAGCACTCCCAGCTACCTTCAAGACACCACTGACTTCCTGAGGAAACTTCAATCCATCGGTGATCTTCCTGATAACACCATCCTGGCCACTATGGATGTAGAAGCCCTCTACACCAACATTCCACACAAAGATGGACTACAAGCCGTCAAGAACACTATCCCCGATAATGTCACGGCTAACCTGGTGGCTGAACTTTGTGACTTTGTCCTTACCCATAACTATTTTACATTTGGGGACAATGTATACCTTCAGATCAGCGGCACTGCTATGGGTACCCGCACGGCCCCACAGTATGCCAACATTTTTATGGCTGATTTAGAACAACGCTTCCTCAGCTCTCGTCCCCTAAAGCCCCTACTCTACTTGCGCTATATTGATGACATCTTCATCATCTGGACCCATGGAAAAGAAGCCCTTGAGGAATTCCACCATGATTTCAACAACTTCCATCCCACCGTCAACCTCAGCCTGGTCCAGTCCACACAAGAGATCCACTTCCTGGACACTACAGTGCTAATAAACAATGGTCACATAAACACCACCCTATACCGGAAACCTACTGACCGCTACTCCTACCTACATGCCTCCAGCTTTCACCCTGACCACACCACACGATCCATCGTCTACAGCCAAGCTCTGCAATACAACCGCATTTGCTCCAACCCCTCAGACAGAGACAAACACCTACAAGATCTCTGTCAAGCTTTCTTACAACTACAATACCCACCTGTGGAAGTGAAGAAACAGATTGATAGAGCCAGAAGAGTTCCCAGAAGTTACCTACTACAGGACAGGCCTAACAAAGAAAATAACAGAACGCCACTAGCCGTCACCTTCAGCCCCCAACTAAAACCCCTCCAACGCATTATTAAGGATCTACAACCTATCCTGAAGGATGACCCAACACTCTCACAAATCTTGGGAGACAGGCCAGTCCTTGCCTACAGACAGCCCCGCAACCTGAAGCAAATACTCACCAACAACCACATACCACACAACAGAACCACTAACCCAGGAACTTATCCTTGCAACAAAGCCCGTTGCCAACTGTGCCCACATATCTATTCAGGGGACACCATCACAGGGCCTAATAACATCAGCCACACTATCAGAGGCTCGTTCACCTGCACATCTACCAATGTGATATATGCCATCATGTGCCAGCAATGCCCCTCTGCCATGTACATTGGTCAAACTGGACAGTCTCTACGTAAAAGAATAAATGGACACAAATCAGATGTCAAGAATTATAACATTCATAAACCAGTTGGAGAACACTTCAATCTCTCTGGTCACGCAATCACAGACATGAAGGTCGCTATCTTAAAACAAAAAAACTTCAAATCCAGACTCCAGCGAGAAACTGCTGAATTGGAATTCATTTGCAAATTGGACACTATTAATTTAGGCTTAAATAGAGACTGGGAGTGGCTAAGTCATTATGCAAGGTAGCCTATTTCCCCTTGTTTTTTCCTACCCCCCCACCCCCAGACGTTCTGGTTAAACTTGGATTTAAACTTGGAGAGTGGTCAGTTTGGATGAGCTATTGCCAGCAGGAGAGTGAGTTTGTGTGTGTGTGTCTGGGGGGGGGAAGAGAGCCTGGATTTGTGCTGGAAATGGCCCACCTTGATTATCATGCACATTGTAGGGAGAGTGGTCACTTTGGATGAGCTTTTACCAGCAGGAGAGTGAGTTTGTGTGTGTGGTTTTTGGAGGGGGGTGAGAGAACCTGGATTTGTGCAGGAAATGGCCCACCTTGATTATCATGCACATTGTGAAGAGAGTTGTCACTTTGGATGGGCTATTACCAGCAGGAGAGTGAGTTTGTGTGTAGGGGGGTGGAGGGTGAGAAAACCTGGATTTGTGCTGGAAATGGCCCAACTTGATGATCACTTTAGATAAGCTATTACCAGCAGGACAGTGGGGTGGGAAGAGGTATTGTTTCATATTCTCTGTGTATATATAATATCTGCTGCAGTTTCCACGGTATGCATCCGATGAAGTGAGCTGCAGCTCACGAAAGCTCATGCTCAAATAAATGGGTTAGTCTCTAAGGTGCCACAAGTCCTCCTTTTCTTTTGGCGGATACAGACTAACACGGCTATTCCTCTGAAACCTGTATTTTTATTGGAAGGTGGACAGGAATATAGCCAGAAATGACATGAACCATGTGTCAATAGCATCATGGTTACATCGAGACGGTCATAGAAGATGTAAATATAGACCTTGTATCCAAAAATCCATTGCTGTTCCTCTTCCTTGGCCAGCTCTCAAATCAATATGGAGGTTCTGAGTCAGGCCGTGGAACTCATTGATTTCCAATTGTTCTACTACAGGTAATGGTGATGAAAAAAATAATAGACTGCAGCCATTTCTATTTCCATGCCTTCCATTAACTCCATACGGGGGCCTGGAGCTTACCCTTAGAGCCAAAGTCAGCCTTGAGATACCCAGCTGTGACCCCCTCTGACTTGGTCCTAGATCTATTTTAGCAAATGCAATCCTCCTCCTATCCTAGATAGGACTGTGTAGTTCTGAATGCAGCTCAGAAGCCTAAAATCGAAGTCACGAGCCTAGAATCAAATCCCCTGAGTCCAAAATCAAAGTTCATAAAGCCTTTCCTTATATAAACAGGCACCACTTGCCTTTATAACAAAGAACTGCAGTAACACTTTGCCCATTCAAATGCTAAACTCGGTGATCTCTTCATTTGCAGGCCTTAGTAACTAAGGCACTGATTTTGCAAAGACTTAACACTCATGCTTAATTTTGTGCACATGAGAAGTCTTATTAAAGTTAAGCATGTGTAAGATGGGGGTCTAATTGGCAAGAAAAGTAAGCACACATGGGTCTGTCACTGCCCATGCCATGATATTTGCCTATGCTGTGCCGCCTGTTTTTGCCCTTTAACTCTACTCCCAGAGAGGGATACCACCTCAGCTGCTGCTGGCCTTTCCCATCATTACCAACATCTTTTCCCAAGGTTTGGGCAGACACAGAAGCAATGCTATTCAGTCTGCAAAGGTCAGCACAAGACGAACCAGGAAGTAGTTAATTAAAGTTGTTGTTGATGTTGGATGTACATGCAATTATATTCCCTTCCTCTCAATCAGGAGTGAAAAATATTGGCTGGCAGAAACAAGCAAAAAACGAGAGACTGATCAGAGAAACAAAATCTTGCAAAAGAAAACGCAGGGAGGATAGGACAGGGAGTGAGCCACGTCAGCTAGGGAGTCTTTTTGCTTCAATTAGAAGCCTAATAAAGCTGAAGTACTAATAAACCAGATGCCAGATTTAATTAGATCAGCTTAGGCAGCAGTTCACCATACAGGAACTGGGTAGCTAATATCCCCACCAGAGCACTAGCTCTGTGACATTGATGATTGAGTGTTCTTCTTTGATGGAGAATACAGCCATCTGTCTGAACTAGGTCATTAAACTCAACCTCACCCTTTGCGCTGTTTCGCTACAGGCTGAAGTTTGCAGCTCAGGCCTGGGTGATAGTTCTGGACCAGACCACCACCAGATCCATCTCCCTCATGTGCCAGATCTCAAAATCATGATTACATCTGATTTCTAGAAGAATGTGACCGGGAGGAAGGGAGGAAATCTGACCAAAGGAGCCACTCTTGCTATCTTAGACTAGTCCCACTACTTATCAAGATAGGCTCTGACCTCAATGCTAACTTCAATTCAGTTCTTCACTGCAAGAATTGAACTTGGTGAAAGCTCCTCAGTTGAGGCCAGGCTAAGCAGCTGTATACCATTCACCCCTGGGTACCGCCAGTTGGTTTATGCTGTCTTTGATAGCTTTCTGTGGGGGTTCTTAAATTATTGAAATGAGCCAAAAAAGTACTTCCCAGTCATTCATAAACACAAGCCATTGATTTATTAATAAATAATAAACATGTATTTATATATTTAATTGATTTCTTGATGACAGACCAAGCAAGCAAAATATGGAGACTTCAGGAGTGGGATAGCCAGCAGGGATGGCTGATCATACATGATGAGGCCATAAGACCCAAGAAGTTGGAAAGAGAAAAGTCCTATTGGATCCTCTAGGACCAGATGCTCAAGGTGCTTAGGAGCCTAACTACCATTGATTTCAATGGGAGCTGAGTGCCTAAATACCTTTGAAGACCTGGGCCCTAGTCCACCCTCTTGGGCTTGTTCCCATCAAACTCTTCTCTGGTGTTCTGTGTAGCCGAATCTAAGATGTCCCCAGCCATGCAGTTTCTACCACTTCTCTTTGGAAACTGTTCCGCAGTTCACAGATCTCCTGCTCAGGAGATTCCTGGGTGATATCAGGCCAAATTAATCCTTGGTATAACTATACTGGTTTGAGTAGAGTTACCCCAGGGATATATTTTAGCCTAGATTCTTCATTTAGTTTGCATAACTTCTGCTCAGCTCCTTCTCATGCCACCAGTTAATGCTGCTTCTTGCTTGGCATTCACACTCTTCAGACATCTGTAGATAGTTGTCACATTCCCCCACTAGCTCTAGCAAGAGTCATGCTATTATCCCTGTTTATGTTAACCTTACCCCTCATATTAATCCCCCTAGACCCTGTTGTGGTGGTTCTTCACCGAACATCTCCCTTCCGATACTGAGGTGCCCAGGAATCCAGCATTCCAAGTGCGGCTTCAGCACAGTTCTATTGAGAGAATTCTCCTCTTCCTTTGTTACAACTGACTGCCTGCATCTAAGCAGCCCCAGTTTTGCTGTCATATTGCACAACCAATTGTATCTAAATAATCCAGTTTGACTACCACAATGCATTGTATACATGGTGAGAGGTTCAAAGAGAATGAGAATCCACCAGAGCCATCAGAACTTACTCCCTTTATCTCCAAGAGAGTCCACTCCTCTATTTAAAATTAACGTTACAATAAACAGGTTGCTTTCTTTTTCCAGTAGCCTCAAACATTAGCAGAACATGAGGAGGATAACAACACCGAGCGCCTTTATTCTCTTGTATACCCAATTGCTTAACAACCAATGGCTTCATCCAGTCCACAGAGGCAGCTGAGAGACTGAAGACAGTGCAAACCCACTGGGGCTTTTGTATCCTTGACTATAATGCAACTGCAGACCTTTGCAAGAGAGGTGAGCACTTGGGCCCTGATCTGCAGAGTTGGGTTGCCAACTTCTTAATTTCACAAAACCGAACACCCTTACCCCTTTCCTTCTCCAAGGCCATGCCCCTGCCCGCCTCCCTCCGTAGCTTGCTTTCCCCCACCCTCACTCACTTGCACTGGGCTGGGACAGGGGGTTGGGATGCAGGAGGGGGTGAGGGCTCCATCTGGGGGTGTGGGCTCAGGGTGCAGGAGGGGGCTTGGGGTGCAGGCTCCTGCTGGGCAGTGCTTACCTTAGGCAGCTCCCAGTCAGCGGTGAAGTGAGACTAAGGCAGGCTCCCTGCTTGCCCTGGCTCTGCGCTGCTCCTGGAAGCAGCCAGCATGTCCCTGCGGCCCCTAGGCGGAGGGGTCAGGGGGCTCTGCGTGCTGCCTGTGCCCACAGGCACCACCCCCACAGCTCCCATTGGCCATTGTTCCTGGCCAATGGGAGCTGCGGGGCCAGCACACAGTGCTTCCCTGATCCCCCCGACAATTTTCATCCACTGTCAGCGGGTGTTGTACTTTAGTTGGCTTTATTCCACCTTTTGGCCCTCCTTATTTTGGGCTAATCCTGCTGGGGCTCCTGTGGCACCTGGCATAAAACAGAACTGCTCTAATTTACATGGTTTTCTACCCCAACCCACCAATCAGCTCTGTGCTCACAGCAGCTGAGAATCCCTATATACAATATGGGATCTCCTCTCCTTCCCCTAATGTGACACCTGAACCAAGACAGCCTGCATAAGGCAGCCTATGGCCTTCCTACACCGTATCCGTGTAATTTTCTGTTCACTGTGTGATATTTGTCCCCTTCTGTACTCAAGCCACAGAGGCTATGGGTCTGCTACAGTCCCCGCCCCCATTATAGAGGCTTGGAATTTAGTTCAGCTGAAGAGAATCATGCTGCTAGGTCTAGAAGTGCCTCGCTCAGTCCTCGGGGCACTAGCCAGGCTGGTGACCATCACACTTGCACCAGAGAAGTTCTTCCTTGGTTTACTACGGCTTTTGGAGCCTCAGGAGCCTGGCCCAGCAGCATACAGGGTGTGGGCAGAATTTAAATTTAGTTCATCTGCTCCTGGCTGGTTCACCTAAAGCCACTTTCCCTTAGTTACACTGAGCAGGGGGAGCAACAAAGGAGGTGGTGGGGATCCTCCTACCCTGCCAGCAGGGAGCCATGGAAGAAGGGACAGTAGCCTCAAGGTAAATGAAACCTTTTACTACACAACCTGGTCCTACGCTGATCTTTGTCTGACCAATAGGAAATGGTGATTCCCTTTATGCTAATGAAGGAGCAGGAGAAGTGTATCCAGTTGGCTGAATAAATCTGGAGTGGTTACACTGCTCCCATCCAAGTCAACCAGTGGGTGCAGTCTGGCCAGGCAAATAAGAGCAATGATGGACTGTTTGCGTCAGAAAGGCCCTTTATATATTTACATTTTTACACACACACAGAGTGCATCCTGGCCTAACCTGTGTCCCAATGACCGTGCTGCCTCCTAAACCCAGGGAAACACAGACTTTCCTTGTATGCTTGAGCAGGTTCTGAGAAAAGCAGAAAACCCTCACCAGTGCCTTGGGATACCTTTAGTAGGGGCATTTTCACACTTCTATTGTTGATGGCAATAGCATGATGTTTCAAGTCGCCTGTGTGTATTTAGGGCTGGTGAGGGACTTTGATCTCGTGCCCTCAGGGAAGGGCTGGGTTTGCTGTTACCCAGAGCTGCAGCTCCATTCCTTGTAACAGAACATTGGGTGTTGACAGCTTGGGACCCCTCTCACAGATCTTCCTCAGATCTAGCTCCTACTTTAGGCTGAGCACAAGGGAAGGTGAGTGTAATGTAATGAGGCACTGGCTTAAAGACAAAGCTCATCAAGAGGGACAGCGCCCATTGTCCAGTGACTTCCATTTTACGGGCATCTGATCTGGCTCTGTC